CTTTTATGATAAATTTTGTAATTATTATTATTATTATTATTATTATTATTATCGTTACCCAATAGTCCATATATATATATTAGGCAAAGTTCTTTTCGGTTCTGTTTGTTTGTCCCTAAAATAACTTGAGAATGGATTTACGGATTTGCACCACACTTGATAAGTTTGATGCGCATGTGACAAGGTCTACTGATAAACTTTTGGTGTTAATCCCTCACTGATCTTGTGTTGCCACTATAATGGATAGTGTAATGATAACACTGTATAAGGCTTTTCGAGTATAAAGAAAACAATGACAAGGAACAGTTCCCAGCGATGATTACGTTAATATATAAGAACTGCTTCTCTTCACTCCAACCTTTCAATTGGGACAAATCAAAGGAAGCTCGTGATTAGTTGAGTCACACCGGGTGGCATTTTTACAAAGTCTTCTTAACACTTACATCGGCGTCCTGATTGGCCGTGTCTTCATGCAGATAACGTCATGCATAACGTTACGCAATCAGAGCTGCCAGACACTAACATAAAATAATTTACGCTTCTTTATTTACTGCACCTCCTCACTGCAAATGTGCACCACAAACTCAAATTTAATTTACTTATTGAATAACTGTGTCTAATGCGAGGAATTATGAATTAGAAACTCTATGAACAGGGTGACCTGACCAAACCTAACCCAACGCACCTCCTTCAGCCAGCTGTATTGACAAAATCTGTTCTAGGCCCAGGTTACAAAGCTCACGTGACGGAGTATAGTTTAATATCTATTTTGCCATGGTAAAGGTTTGCAGGAAGGGTTTGCATCTAATCAGCAGTTGTAGTAGTGGTAACAACAGTAGTAGTAGTAGTAACAGTAGTAAGGTTCGAGAAAATAACAGGAGGGATGGTGTAGAAAGAAGCAGTGAAGACACAGGGAAGAGCAGGCTCTTCAAACCTAGATTCAGACGGGTGGAGAGTCATCCTCAGCACTAACAAGTTTGGCGACGCATCACGTGATCTCTGCAATGCCACCGCCGCCCTTGCAAAAAAAATGGCAACCTCTTGCTCCCATCACCTACAAGCTCTGACGGCCTGTCGCCTCATTTCCCATAGATAAAAATCCATGATGTAGGCCTATAGGGGTGGGGGAAGTGCTGAGACAGATCATTCGGAATGCATTAGAGAGGTGGTTAATGATGATGTCAGGGCAGCTGCAGGGAACCTGCAAGTATGTGCTGGCCACCAGGCTGGGGGTGAAGCTGCCATTAACGCCATGCGAAAGATATCTGAGCAGCGTGATTGTGAGGCAGTACTCCTGGTTGACCCTTCCAATGTATTCAAAATAATCGACCGCAAAGCTACACTGCATAACATCAAGATCAAGTGTCAAAGCTTTGCAACGTAGGTTGAATACACCTATAGGAACCCATCAGACCTCTATATAACAAGCTTCAAGGCCCTAAGAGGTGATACCACCATACAGTCAACTGAGGGAACAATGCAGAGGGACCCTGTCGCCATGGCAATATACGCTCTAGGCCGATCTGTGCTCCAACATACAGTAATCTATGAAACAACCAAGGTCAAGCAAGTGGCGTATGCTGACGACCTTACAGGAGCAGGAAATGTGGAGGACATCAAAAAGTGGTGGGACCTGGTAACATCACGTGGTCCACAAATAGGGTACCACCCAAATGCCAGCAAGTCCTTCCTCATTGTGAAGCCAGAATACCAAGACCGGACAAAAAGGTGTTCAACGGATGTGAGGTCAAAATAACAAAGGAGGGCCAAAGACATCTAGGTGCCATAGTCGGCACGAATGACTTCAAGACCGAGTACGTAACGGGAAAGGTAAATGAGTGGGCGAAGGAAATCCAAGTTGTATGATATTGCTAAAACTGGGCCACATGCGGCGTTTGCGGCATTCACTCACGGAGTCAAGCATCGCTGGAATTACCTGATGCGCACTATCCCTGATATCAGACCCCTCCTCCACCCTCTAGAAGAGGTCATTAAGGATGCTTTTATCCCAACACTAGTGAAAAGCCAACAATTAACCTCAGCAGAAAGATCACTCTTTGCACTACCACCGAGACTGGGAGGAATGAGAATTACTAATCCAGAGGAGCTTGCTGCCGCTGAACATCAGAACTCTGCCAAGCTCACGGCAGCCCTCACTGAGCCAATAGTAGCTCAACGAAATACATAAGATTCAATGATCCATTACGACAGACCGGCAGCACACCCGAAGTGATAAACTTCAACAACTGATGCAACAACTGCCAGTATACTTGAGAAAAAACGTAGCTCAAACTGACTTACAACGTTACCGATAAGATAAATGGGCATCACCCGTAACAAGTATCCACAGACGCCATTGCTCTAAGGTATGTTTACCCAGTAGAAGGTATACCCTCCCAATGTATGTGACTCATCCAGAGTCACCCTACGACATCGACCACGCCATGGTGAGCAAGAAGGATGGGTTCGTATGCATGAGGCATGAAGAAGTAAGGGATCTCACAGCTAATATGTTGAAGGTGATCTACCACGACGTCACAGTGGAACCGACCCTCCTTCGTTTGGACAGGAGTATCTCCATCACAGGACTTCCAACACATCCAACGAAGCCCGTGTGGATGTCATTGCTTGAGGATTTTGGACACGGGGACAGCGAGCCTTTTTGACATCAGGATATTCGACCCCGTGGCCGCAAAACACCGTAACCTATTTCTCGAGGCTGCACACAAGAGGAACGAGAACGACAAAAATAGGGCGGAGCAGAGACAATTAAAAATGTGGACCAATGCAGCTTCCCTTCTCTGGTGTTCACAACCTCTGGCGAGATGGGACCAAGTGCAAGATGCTTTTATACAAAACTGGCCGAGGTGTTATTTGAAGAGAAGCAGCAGCCAAGAAATTACGTTACAACCTGGCTGAGATGTCGACTGTCCTTTCTCTCTGCTTAGGTCTGCATTGCTTTGCCTCAGGGGAACGATATCTTCGGCCCAAAGCCAACAACAGTCGCAGATATTGACGATGAGGCAACAGTCACTGAATGCTGCATAGATCTGCGGCTTAACTAACTCAGCTAGGGTGGCTGATTTGTATTAGAGATTTAATATTAAGGTAATAAAGTGATGACGAAGGTGTGGCTGTTGGGGGAGGCTAGAGGCCACTTAGTAGTAGTAGTATTAGTAGTAGTAGTAGTATTGCTGCAGGTTCCAGAAAATTTGAAAAAAAAGTAGCTATAGCGCAGGAGGTGGGCGCCTCGAACTGGTTAACTACGTTACCGATAATGGCAAATGGTTTCAGTCTTAATAAACAAGAATTTACAGATGCCATTGCTCTAAGGTACGGTTCGCCAGTAGAAGGTTTGCCCTCCCAATGCGTGTGTGGCTCTTCCTATGATGGCGATCACGCCATGATCTGCAAGAAGGGGGGCTTCATGCATGAGGCATGATGAGGTAAGGGATCTCACAGCAAATATGTTGAAGGAAATCTGCCGGGACGTCATGGTAGAACCGACCCTCCTTCCATTGGATGGCGAGATCTTCCAACACAGGACTTCAAACACATCTAACGAAGCCCGTGTGGACGTCAGTGCTCGAGGATTCTGGACGCGGGGACAGCGAGCTTTCTTCGACATCAGGATTTTTGATCCCATGGCCGCTGTCACCGTAACCTAGCTCTCGATGCTGCACATAGGAGGAACGAGAACGACAAGAGAAGGGCATATGGGGAGAGAATTCAAAACGTTGATCAAGGCAGCTTCACTCCTCTAGTGTTCACAACCTCTGGTGGGATGGGCCCAAGTGCAAGATGTTTCTACGCCAGACTCGCGGAGTTGATCTCCGAACAGAAGCAGCAGCCCAGAAGTTATGTTACAGCCTGGATGAGATGCCTCCGGGGAACGAGAGCTTCTGCCCCTACTCCGACAACTGCTGCAGATATTGACTATGAGGCTACAGTCACTGAATGCTGCATAGATCTGCGGCTCAACTAATTTAACACAGATAGGATAGCTTCTTATGTATTAGGATATTTAATATTAAGGTAAATAAATGGTGGCGAAGGTGTGGCTATTGGGGGAGGCTGGAGGCCACGTATAAAAAAAAAAGTAGTAGTAGTAGCAGTAGCAGCAGTAGTAGTAGCAGCAGTAGTAGTAATAGTAATAGTAGTAGTAGTAGTAGTAGTAGTAGTAGTAGTAGTAGTAGTAGTAGTAATAATCAAGACTCAGCAATTTTCGTACTTGATGTTAATCCGAGGGAAATTATAAAATAAAATTAGATTTGGATATTGTTAGGTGAAGTTAAAATTAGATTTGCCATGTTTACGTTACATATGTTTGGTTAGCTAGGTTTTGGTTATACTGTATCGGTTAGATTATATTTGGTTTCATTAGGGTCAGGTAATGTTAGATTAGGTTTGAATAGATTAGGTTGTACTATATTGAGTTAGAGTTTGATTATATTGGGTTAGCTTTGCTTCGTCTGGGTTTGTTAAGTTAACGTAGCTTAAAGCTGATTAGGTCAGTTAAGTTTTGTTTAGGTTATGTTTGGTTAGGTTAGGTTAACTCAAATATGGTTAGGTTAGCTCAGCTTTGTGTAGGTTAGGTGAGCTTTAGTTCGATTAGGTTAAGTTTGAGCAAACGTCATCTCATAAAGGAAACAAGGTAAGGGAAAAGAATAAGATTAAAACAATAATAGGCAAGAGGTGGGCAGTCAGTGGCAAAAGACCAAGTACAATGTTGAGGCGCAGGGACGTAGAGATCTCGGGCCAAAACAACTTGTTTGCGGAGGTGTTACACTTCCCAGCTTTTACCATCATTTCTATCATCTCCGCCCACCATACGCCTTACCCTCTCTCTCGATAGCATAGTATCGGCTTACGTTTATGAATATTCAGTGTCACTAGAGCGGGATGAACAAAATACCCGGGTAAAAGACGGAAATTTAATTGTTCGAAGTCGTCCGGTTTGGTCACGCGACATCCAGTAAAACCCTGCCAATGCCAACACCACGTCCACCACCTCCTCCACAGTTACTACTGACAACAGTGACACTATACACACCCTCCCAACGTTATTGCTTCTACAGTGAACTCTATTTATACTCGGAGGTGCTCAATGTTGTTGTAGTATGTAGCGATAATGAGAACAAGGAAAATTATATGTGTGAGCGAGTGAGGATTCGTCTCATAGGAAAGCAGAAATAATAGTAGGCGTTGCGTGTTGGTGCGGTGACACCCCCAGCCTAGTTCTACCGTACTGTGTAATGTGTCAAGCGTTAGTGTTGCTGGAGAAACAACACATCATCTACATTACACTATGCGATAACCAAGTGTGACAGGGAATCTGTAAGTGGTATAGAATCTATAATGAAAAAAAAACATTACATAAGTTTATTTGTGATAGTGTTGTTTGTACCGCGTGTTTAAGGTAGGTAGGCTATATCAATGTTGGCAACTTTCAGAAAATTTATTTTTTAATGTAAAGATGTAATAAATGTTGAAACCCTTCATCATTGTTAAATTATTACGACTTATCAACTTTCATGACAAAGAAACACTGCTACTGGTGGCGGAGCAGCAGGGGACACCAGCCAAACCTCTCCTCTGTACGAGCTGTGGTATTTTCAGCTTCACAACGTCCACTACTTTTATACCTCGCATTTTTTTTTTCCCAAGAAACAAAATACCCGTCAAAATTCGTCTGTTTGTGTGTCTATCCGTATTCTATAGGGAGAACCATGTGGGCTAACACGTTTACATTTGACAAAAATAGATATCCCCAAGAGTTCCAAGGTCAACTTTTATTATGAAGGTCACTGACCCACACGACCACATCGTATGACCACCTAGAACTTTTCGGCACGGATGATTAGGGGAATAAAAATGTTGTTTCTGTCTACAAACTTATGAAAAGTCCAGCTCGCCGCAAAATGAACATCAGCAATACAGTGTTGAATTGTAGTAATTACATAGTTTTGATAAATATTTAAGTCAACAATAAATAGTCAAAAGCACAGGCTGAGGCAACGTAGAATTGCTAGCTTATATAAGTACCTTTGTCTATACTTGTATTTGTGTATCATTTCGTAGTTTTTTTTCTTTCCAAATATGACTCATAGGGAGATGCCAGATACTGTCAAGCGCCCACGTAATACTTCAACCCATAACATCATCGTTGTTTATCGCAATGCATTCTGGAATAAAGAAGGTTGGGTCGGCCATCGTGGTTTTTATCCCACTTGAATTATTTGCTGCTAAAATGTCAGTAGTATTTCAACGACAAGGCAAAGGGTTTCTTTATTTTTTTATTTGCTACCAATCGATAATTAAAAAAGGAAAATTATGAAAAGTTTGATAGCAGTATTCCCATATCGTCCATTCTCATTTCACCATATTATTACCCTGCATCAAAGAAAAAGAAAATAATTTGTACTTAGTGTGACTTCAATATTTTTTATTTATTTATTTATTTTTGCGGGGACTAGCCCACCCGGGCACAGGTCACTGACCCACATCAGGGCCTGGGGGCGAAAATGTATTAGTAGTAGTAATAATAATAATAATAATAATAATAATAATAATAATAATAATAATAATAATTCATAGTAAATAAAAACAATAATAAAAATACAAAATTAAAAATAAAATAATAATGATAACAATAACAACACTAATAATAATAATAAAAAAATAAAAAAAAACAATCAATGAAAATCGATATACTGTATGTATGTTGTGTTGTCAAAATAAGAGAAACAATTGAAACCATGCAATTGTGTGTAAATGAGGCAGAAAGTCAGATCAGCAACTTGGGACTTGGTCACAATTTTTGTGATGCCATATGGCAGCAGGGTCTACCATTAGACAACACATTATGCTTCCAATATCTTCCCAGGCGGTAGTTTGCTGTAACTAGAATAACAAAATAGGTAGAAAGATAAGGTGATTGTTCAAGGTTTCGATCCAAGATCACTCCATCACCCAAATACTGTACTGTAACCCAAACATTGGTGTGCAGTGATGTTTTCTGTGGTTATGTTGTATTTTTAATAATTAATTTTAATTTAAAAAAAAAGTCATTTGGGTGATTTGTGCTGCATGGAGTGAACCGCCAAGCATAATAACATCAAGTCTGTAGAGCAGGGTAATAAATATCTGTACAGGGTATATACAGTGTAGCATGACTGGATGTTTCCTTTTTACGTTTAGGAACACCCAGAATAAGAAAAAATCAATATAACAATCAAGGTATGACCAAGGTATGTCGGCCTCTGGAAGGTTTAAATTAAAAATTTGCTAAGCTTAGGTAAGTGATGAAATGGATTATGAGTTATCAAATTATTATACTATATAGTAGTAGGCTATAGCCTCCAGGTATATTAGGGCAGTTCACTGCTAGCTGTCATTAGAGCTGTCATCAGTGTCCTGGCTTTGTTGACATTTTGGACCGGCTAGCGAGGGTTCATATTTGGGTGGCTTACCTTCTTATTAAATTAGCTTTCGACTCGTTCTTCCCTGCATGAAACCCGTTACATATAAGCCACCGTCTTTGGACATCGATTTCGTTGTTTTCGATCAGAAAACACTTTAAAATCGCCCCTCTAACACCACTCTCCGCAAAAATGACTCCGCCTTCGCCGCACAATGTACTCAGATTCAGATTTGCCCCCGAGGGGGCTAGTTTATTGGGCACCCCCTTACATCCTATGCAAGGTGAAGCGCAGAAGCGTTTACAGCGCCCAACAGGGAGGTATGAAAAGTTCATACTTGCCTTTATGACTCGTACATTAAGGGCGTAAAAGCCTGAAGGGTCATAGGTTTTGTCAAGTTACATAAAGTGAGAGAATGATGAGTGTGTGGGGGGAAAGTTCCCGGTACATTTTATCTGTTCATGGCAAAGAGTGGCAGGTCCCTAATAATGTCAAATGCCAGGCCTGTGACTAGGAGGAGGGATATCTGGTCTGGGAGGGAAGAGGTGTTGGTAACGGCTGGGGACCTATAGGAGGAGGTCAGAGGGTCAGAATGTACTGTACTGTGGTAAACATACAACCGTCATAACGACATAATTATACTTAGACCACTTTAACACACAAACTATACATTACTCGCAGGTCATCTTGTACTGTGGCGGTACGTAAAGTTAACAACCTCTTTTATCCCGACAATTTTCTGATCACTAAAACTTGTCCACTTTTAGTGGGTGACGAGGATTATCATTGCTGAAGCTGAACTGTCGAAGAGAACACCATTGCAGAATACACTTATTACAGCATTTAGAAAGAATAAATGACAGCACATAATGGGAGGGTCTGTCGTTAATCTCAGTCGTTTCATGTTCTAATGGTATTACTACGCTTCTGTAACTAGGTTATCAATTACACTTTTTATCAACAATTAAAATTTACAAGATATATAACTATGATTATTCCAGTCACTCAGCGCCATAGTAGTGAGAAGATACAGTGAAAAGTTATCACAACCGCACGAGTATCAACAATATTTTCTTATTAAATTATATTATTAGTTTTGGTATTGTTATTAATATTACAATCATTGTTATTGTTATTATTATACTAATAATATCTTTTGGATGACAAAATCTAAACGCTATACTGAAATATCAGACGTTTGCAACTCTCTTTTATTTTATATGCCTTTAACTCATCGTGTTGCCAATTGCAAGCGCAAACATTTCAGTATCTGCATAAAATTTATGTTGTCGGAATGTTAATCAATTAGAGCTACAAGCAAAATTTCACGTTTTTACCAGCATAACGTTCCATTATATCGTAACATTCACTACTTCGTCAAATTTATTGTAATCACTTTCAATTCGTGAAATTTTCTGGTTTATAACCAAATTGAATATCCCTTAAATAATTAACATGAGCTGTAATTTTCATATTCCAACACGTTAATGAAGGATCATCAACACCCACCTGGGCCACAGGTCGGTCAGGTCTCTGTTACGCACTGTTGGCAAGTACTGGGCAGTGGGCATGCACTGGCTCCTGAATGTGTCTATACCTAATTGTGTTAGTCAAGTGTGGTCTTGAAAGAGCCCACACTCGGTGCCGTCACAACACTCTCTGGCAGATTGTTCCAAGAGTTTACAATTCTCACTCCGAAAAAAGTTTGCCCTCACAGTTTTCGGTACTTATGACTTCTTCAACTTTGAGCTGTGACTGCTACGTCCGCCAGTTCCAGGTATGGACACTCGACTGAGTAATTCCCTCGTTTATAAACTTCAATTGGGTCACCCCTTGCCAGTCTATAGTATAAGCTAGCTTTGGATAACTGAGAAGCCGTAGTGCAGGCACCAGTCTGGTGGCCCTCCTTTGGACATTTTCAATCAACTGACAGTCTCTAACGTATCTTGGGGACCAGACGGGGTGACAGTACTCCAGACGGACAAGCACCTCACTCTTAAAGATCATTACGAGGACGGACCGTCTAGATATCTGAACGACCTTGATTCACCTTCTCACAATGGCCCGAGAACTTCAGTTCATTGTCAACATACACACCGAGGTCCTTTTAACATTGGTTTCTATTAATGCAGTTTCTTCGTCCCATTGAGACATATGATACGCCTCTTTGCCGTTGGTACGACCTAGGTTCATCCTCTTACACTTCGTAACATTGAATCTTAACAGCCATTTCTTCGATCACTCTTGAAGGAGGCGACATCATTCCATTTACCAAATTGTTTGAAAGTCCAAGGATAACATTTTAAGTAATTTTAGTTATTTTTTTAAATCAATAAATTTCTTGGTCATCGGCCAAATTCACATAATAATAAATATATAACACTCACTCATGAAGACTTTGTGTATATATTACCACAATGTCGTTTAGATTTAAACACTAAATATACACACACAAAAGTCATAATACTTCATTCAGGTGAGGATAAAGGTGCACTGTGTATCAAAACTTGCAGGAGAAGGTACAGACGGGCAAGGGGTGACCTAATTGATGTGTATAAGCATCTCAAGGGGCACTACTCATTCGAGTGTCCTTACTTGGAGCTGGCGGACGCTCGCCCCACAAGGGGTCACAGCTCAAGATTGAAGAAGCCGCAAGTCCAGAAAACTGTGAGGGCAACTTTTTCGGAGTGAGAGTTGTAAACTCTTGGAACAATCTACCAGAAAGTGTTGTGACGGCACCGAGTGTGAGCTCTTTCAAGACCAGACTTGACCAACACTGGAGCAGGTTCAGGTACATTCAGGAGCCGGTGCATGCCCAGTACTTGCCAACGGGGCGTAACAGAGACGTGACCGATCGCCCAAGCAGCTAACGAGCCGATATTTTGGTGAAGAGGATTAAAGAAAAGGAAAAGTAATCAGAGACGTGACCGATCGCCCAAGCGGCGAACGAGTCGATCAGTGGTGAAGAGGATAAAAGTAAAAAGTACTTCCGTCGTGGGCATTTCGATGCAGAAGTGACATTTACATCGTCACACTGTAGCTTACGTTTCACTGCGATGCTCGCAGCTGCGCTAGATTCAGTGTTGGTGGATGATGATGTACCCAGAGTCTCCTTGGCGACGTTTCTGGGAGGGTTTGACGGCTTTGACTGTACGTCAGTTGGGCGCATAAAAATTGCGAATATCCATCGTGGACTAGAAACCAAGCAAACACACTATACACGCGCGGGAATAACACGATAATGTAAGAGTGCGCATGTGTTGTTTACACCTGAAACAGGGACTCGTGACTGACTCCTTGGTCAGAACTTGGTCATTTATATGAAGACGCCAGTGGTCCTGAGGGTCATGTCAGGTCATAAGCTGAGCTTATGACCTGACATGACCCAAAATTCTGCACACAAGTATGTCTTATAATCAAGCCGCTTGTGTTTGACTGCATTAAGATTAAATATGACAGTTAAGGGAAGGAGATGACAGCAGATCAAAGACACTTCAGACGAGCAGCGTGGGCTTCGAGGGGGGGTTTCAGGGCAACCAGGAAACCCCCTTGGATACGCCCCTGGTCTTGAAGGACGCTAGGACATTTCCCCGAATCCCGTACTCTTCCAGTTTAATTCTCAGCGCTTCATAGGGTACGCTGTCGAATGCCGTGACAAAATCTAGGTCGATATTATCGCCTTGTTCCAGAATTTGAGTCCACACACCTATTGTTAGTTTCTTTATAATAAATAAATATATATATATATATATATATATATATATATATATATATATATATAATTATTAAAAGTATTGAAGTAAATGATCTCATGAAATTCATATATATATATAGCCTATATATGCATTCTATTTTTTTTCAGGAATGCCTGAAACACACAAAAATTCCACTTGGTCTCAAAGTAGAATTAAAAATCTGGCGTGAATGATGCCAAAGGAGAGGCGGCTGTAATAGAAAGTAAGAAAACCCTATTAAGGCCCACCTCCCATTATTGCTTATGGCAGCTGCGTTACATTTTGGAATGGACGAAGCCGAAAACACCCTCGTCTCCACCTCCCATATTGCAGGTGAGTTCCCTCCAATCTGGTAAGGTAGATATTGCATGTAAGTGTTATTAATACTCTAACCTCTAGCTCCGCCAGATCTCAGGTAAGTTAGACATGAGTACATACAAGGGTCTATAGTCGCTTGTTCTACAACGTTTTTCACCCAGGTAAGTTAAATAGAGTAACCGACCGAGAGATAGGAAGATGCTTTTAACTCTATCTTACCTAAAGTAAACTTTTTCGTGAGATAACAACCAAAGCAGTAATAGTGCAGCTTTTAGTCCTGTCAGTTCCTCGGGGAAAACAGTGCTTTCGAGGTTCTATTAATACAGCCTCCAGTTATGAAACACCATTGCCTGGTACTCCCTTCTCTCTCCTGTCCTCGTCAATCTCATTTCTCTATTTTATGTTTTTATTAGATGTATCAAATCATCTTGGGTTTGGTTGCTACAAATGTATGAGTTTATCTTTGTCTAAAATCTTAGTGCGGCCTTTACATTAACTCTGTACTTGCTCTTTTGTACAGGACTTACTCATTAACATCACCTCACGCTGTAGCTAAACTAACAGATTATCCGAGTTTAGAATTTTAGAGCTTCTTGTGTGTGTGTGTGTGTGTGTGTGTGTAAAGGGAACACAGCGTGCTTGTGTCACTAGCTTTGAACCTTTGAGATTAATATACAGTTATAAACAAAATCATCATTGCGGACGCATGTTTTGAGTCCCATGGTCGTACCTGAGAAGGATGTTATCCAGTGTGACGTAAAATTGAGCGTATCAGACTTGACACATGAAGATGGTAACAACGCGGACTCATATCAAAATAAGGCGGAGGCGTTATATAAATTATTTTCCTAGCTGTTCACAAGAGGGGGTGCGAATAACCTCTTTGTTTTGAGAAAAACGGTTTGATAGCACTGACGCATATGGAGCTCTCAGAAGAGTGTACAACTAAGAATGCAATTGTCAAAGCTCAAGGCTCATAAGAGCCTTGGTCTTGATAGTGTGCATCCTAGAGTGCTAAGAGTTGTGCAATAAGCTCACAGAGCCCCTTAAAATCTTGTTCTGCATGCATGGTACCCAGTTTGAAAATGAAATTGGAAGAGCAAAATTCGAAAGATGGCCGTGGCGTGGATCAGATACTTTCTTCATAACCGCAAGCCGTACGTGGTGATAAAATGGCACGAAATCAACACGTGTACTTGTGATAATCGGGCTATCACCGGGTAGTGTGCTGAGACTGTTGTTTATGTGCTTCATAAATTGTATGCCAGATTTTATTCACTCACCCATGAAAATGTTTGCAGACAACGCTGAGTTTTCCAGGGAAACTGAGAACCAAACGGACTGTGAAGTGTTAAGGTAAAATCTCTGTTGACTTCTGGAGTGGCTGTTATGATTCAACATTATGATGTGCAAAACGATGTACAGTCACCCAAAAAAGTCCTGTCGCGAACCACGATTCAGACTCGTGAACCCGAAGCAGTAGACACTGATACATTATTCTGTCCATAAGTGCTTCGGATTCAAGAGTCTGAATCTCGGGGTTCATGGTTCGCGACAGGACTTTTTTGGGTGACTGTACCTAGATCATACCAATAATTAGTATAGTATGTCCCGACGTGATGAAGAAACAATAACCGAGACCAGACGCGTATGTTGACAATGAAACTTAAGTTCTCGGACTATTGTGAGAAGAAAGTAGATCAAGCAAATAAATTTGTAGGCCTTATGCAAAGATCGTTCTCATGCCTACAATAGATGGCCCGCCTCTCATAACGCTCTTCAAAAGTGAGGTGCTTCCCTGTTTGGGGAACTGTCATCCTGTCTGGTCCTCAAGATATGCTAGAAACCATCAGTTGATTAAGAAAGTCCAAAAGAGGGCCACCAGACTGGTACCGTACTGCAGGCACCTCAGTTTCCCAAAGAGATTAGAGCACTGACACCTCAGAGGACATACAGTACTTGGTCGAGCGTTCATGCCTAGAACTAGCAGATGTCCGCCCTACTCGAGGTCATAGCTTTAGCTTAAAGGAGGCACATGTTCAGAAAATTGTTAGAGCTAAGTTTTTTGGAGGGTTGTGGACTTTGGGAATTATCTGCCAGAAGAAAATAGTTGTGACACACCGAGGTGAACTCATTTAAGGTCCATAGACACTTTCATGGTCCTCTTCACACAAAAATGAGGTTCCAAAAAAGGTTTGTGCCACCTTAGAACCATGGATATAACCTCTTAATTACAGGAGCGCTGGGTTGAACAGTCTAGATCACTGGTGGGTAACCTGCGGCCCATGAGACATTTTGTTTGACCGTGGCTCTCACACAACACCAAAGAATCATGCAAGAAGTGCGCTGATTTTACTCTGAAACATTCGGCCTGTATTAAATGTATTTACGCTTTTTCGTGGGGCCATGATTCATGATGGTGGCATTGGTGAGTGCACATGCCCGATTTTAAACTTGTCACCCTCTGAGATGATGGAAGGTCACTAAATTGGCCCATTGAGATGAAAGAAATTCACTCATGTACGCCCACAGAGATTGAGGAAGGCTACTCACGAGCCCAGGTTGCCCATCACTGGTCTAGATCCGACATCTGGACGTGAAGATCCCAATTACACCAACTGTCTCTTAACTGGCATAGCATCAAGCAAGGTTCTAAGTGATAAAAATGAAAGACTGCCATGCGCAACTTCACCTATGAAGCGTTTGTGTTGTTCTATGTCATCATTCATAAAAGGTATATTATTTTTACTGAAAGGGTTAAAATACATAACTAACAATGCAAATAACCAGCATTTTCCTCAACACATGACGTAAAAACACATTACATAGGTTCACTAGTAGTTCTTTAACCCCCGAAGGCAATGCTAGAAAAGCCTAGCAGCGAGTCGCTGAAAATACCTGTCTAAAATTGAATCTCTTTTTCACTAGATAAAGTAAAAGAAGCTTGTAACAAAATAAATGATGGTCCATTCCATCGATGACTTTTTGCGTATCCCATTACAGATTGTTCCCTGTTACTGTAAGAGAAGAGGAGGCCAGGTTCTGAAAGAGAATACTGAGATGGGTAAGTATGGCCTAGTAACTTAGGTATGGTGGCTCTGATTTCTACTGCTTACGGCGCCTGAACCTCCACATGGCTCATGGAGATGTAACAATAAAAGGGTAGTTTTGCATTCCTTAATGGCCTGTGGCAGTTAGAGGCATCACAGTACAATCAGCACTCATGCTGGACAATTGCAATACCTCAGTGCTTCTGCAGTAATAGTGAGGGCAGCTGTACCGTACCAAGTAGTAATAGTGAGGGCAGCTGTACCGTACCAAGTAGTAATAGTGAGGGCAGCTGTACCGTACCAAGCAGTAATAGTGAGGGCAGCTGTACCGTACCAAGTAGTAATAAGGGCACCGGTACTGTACCTAGTAGTCGTTTGGGAAGCTGTACTCTGGCAATAATAGGGTCAGCTGTATTCTACCTTGCAGTAATACAGTAGGGGCATCTGTACTGTACCTAGCAGTAATATGGGCAGCTGCACTGTACCTAGGAGTAATACAGTAGGGGTGGTTGTACTGTACCTAGAAGTAACGGGCAGCTAGCAGTAACAGGGGCAGCTGTACTGTACCTAGCAGTCATAAGGGCAGCTGCACCGTACCTAGCAGTAACACAGTAGGGGAAACTGTACTGTACCTAGCAGCATGAGGGTCAGCTGTACTGTACCTAACAGTAATATGTGCAGCTGTACTGTACCTAGCAGCAATAGGGGCAGCTGTACTCTACCTAGCAGTAATGGAGACAGCTGTACTGTAACTAGCAGTAATAAGGGCAGCTGCACCGTACCTAGCAGTAATATAGTAGGGTCAGCTGTACTGTACCTAGCAGTATGAGGGTCCTCTGTACTGTACCTAGCAGTAATAGGGGCAGCTGTACTGTACCTAGCAGTAATAGGGGCAGATGTACTGTACCTAGCAGTAATAGGGGCAGATGTGCTGTACCTAGCAGAAATAAAGTAGGGTCAGCTGTACTGTACCTAGCAGTAATAGGGGCAGCTGTACTGTACCTAGCAGTAACAAGGGCAGATGTGCTGTACCTACTTATTAATAGGGGCAGATGTGCTGTACCTAGCAGAAATAAAAGAAAGTAGGGGCAGCTATTGCTGTGCCTAGCAGTAATAGGGGCAGATGTACTGTACCCTAGCAGTAATAGGGCAGCTGTACTCTACCTAGCAGTAATGGGGAACTGTACTCTACTTAGTAGTAATAAGGGTAGCTGTACTCTACCTAGCAGTAATAAGGAGACAGCCTGTACTCTACCTAGTAGTAATAGGGGCCGCTGTACTCTACCTATGGATCATAGGCGCAGCTGTACTGTACCTAACAGTCATAGGGGCTGCTGTACTATACCTAGCAGTAATATGTGCATCTGTCCTATACCTAACAGTAATAGGGGCAGCTGTACTGTACCTAGCAGTAATAAGGGCAGATGTACTGTACCTAGCAGTAATAAAATATGGGCAGCTGTACTGTACCTAACAGTAATAGGGGCAGCTGTACTCTGTACCTAGCAGTAATAAGGGCAGATGTACTGTACCTAGCAGTAATAAAATATGGGCAGCTGTACTGTACCTAACAGTAATAGGGGCAGCTGTACTCTGCCTAGTAGTAATAGGGGCAGATGTACTCTACCGAGTAGTAATAAAGTATGAGCAGCTGTACTCTACCTAGCAGTAATACGGGCAGCTTTGCTCAACCTAGCTGTAATAAAGTAGGAGCAGCTGTATTCTACCTAAAAGTAATGGACAGCTAACAGTAATAGGGGCAGCTGTACTCTACCTAGTAGTAATAGGGGCAGCTGTACTGTACCTAGCAGTAATAGAGTAGGGGCAGCTGTTCTGTACCCTAGCAGTAATAGGAGCAGCTGTTCTGTACCCCAGTATAGGGCAGCTGTACTGTGCCCTAGCAGTAATAGGGGGCAGCTGTACTGTCCCAGCAGCAGCATTCTGTACCTAGAGTAATAGGGGCAGCTGTTCTGTACCCCTAGCAGTAATAGGGGCAGCTGTTCTGTACCCACTTGATAATAGGGGCAGCTGTTCTACCTAGCAGTAATACAGCGCTGTCCTTACTAGTAATAATAGGGGCAGCTGTGCTCTAATGGTAATAGGGGCAGCTGTACCCTAGCAGTAATAGGGCAGCTGTACTGTATCAGTAACAGGGGCAGATGTACTGTACCTAGCAATGTACACAGTAGAGGCAGCTGTACTGCATACCGAGCAGTAATAGGGCAGCTGTACCTACCTATCAGTAATAGGGCAGATAAATGTACCTAGTAATAGAGTAGGGGCAGCTGTGCACTGCCTATCAGTAACAGGGCAGATGAACTGTACCTCAGTAGTGAGGCAACTGTACAGCACTAGTAACAGGGGCAGATGAGTGTCTATGGCAGCTGTACTGTACCTATCAGTAACAGGGGGAGCAGATGAACTGTACCTAGCAGTAATAGAGTAGGGGCAGCTGTACTGTACCTATCAGTAACAGGGGCAGATGAACTGTACCTAGCAGTAATAGAGTAGGGGCAGCTGTACTGTACCTATCAGTAACAGGGGCAGATGAACTGTACCTAGCAGTAATAGAGTAGGGGCAGCTGTACTGTACCTAGTATTAATAGGGGCAGCTGTGCTCTACCTAGCAATAATAGGGACAGCTGTACTGTACCTATAGGTCATAGAGGCAGCTGTACTATACCTAGCAGTAATAAAGTTGGGGCAGCTGTACTGTACCTAACAGTAACAGCGGCAGCTGTACTAAACCTAGCAGTTATAGGGGCAGCTGTACTGTACCTAGCAGTAATAGAGGCAGCTGTACTGTACCTAGCAGTAATAGGGGCAGCTGTATTCTACCTAGCAGTTGTAAAGTATGGGCAGCTGTACTGTACCTAACAGTAACAGCGGCAGCTGTACTATACCTAGCAGTAATAGGGGCAGTTGTACTCTTCCTAGCAGTAATAAAGTAGGTGCATCTGTTCTGTACCTAGTAGTATTAGGGGCAGCTGTACTGTACTGAGCAGTAATAGGGGAAGCTGTACTGTACTTAGCAGTAATAGGGGCAGCTGGACTGTACCTAGCAGTAATAGGGGCAGCTGCACTGTACCTAGCAGTAATAGGGGCAGCTGGACCGTAACTAACAGTAATTGGGGCAGCTGTACTCTACTTAGCAGTAATAGGGGAGCTGTACTTTACCTAGCAGTAATAAAGTAGGTGCAGCTGTTCTGTACCTGTTCTGGTGCCTGCACTTCAGCACCTCAGCTAGCTACCCTGAGAGATTGGAGCGCCTGAACTTGTCTAGCTTATACTACAGACGGGCAAGGGGTGACCAAATTGAGGTGTACAAGCATCTCAAGGGGCACTACTCAATCAAGTCTCCTTACTTGGAGCTGGCGGACGCTCGCCCCACAAGGGGTCACAGCTCAAGATTGAAGAAGCCGCAAGTCCAGAAAAGTGTGAGGGCAAACTTTTTCGGAGTGAGAGTTGTGAACTCTTGGCACAATCTACCAGAAAGTGTTGTGACGGCACCCAGTGTGAGCTCTTTCAAGACCAGACTTGATCAACACTGGAGCAGGTTCAGGTACATTCAGGAGCCGGTGCATGCCCAGTACTTGCCAACAGCTCGTAACAGAGACGTGACCGATCGCCCAAGCGGCTAACGAGCCGATCAGTGGTGAAGAGGATAAAGGTAAAAGTAAATGTAGAGGTGCTCCTCTACTTACGAACGAGATACGTTCCTGAGGCTTGTTTGTAAGTCCAACTATACTCTTGTAGATACCAAACATTGTAAAAAATGAAAAGATTATGGATATTTAGTACAGCTATACCCTTTAATACTGCCTTAAAACCTGGCTCACTCTTCTCCTCTTAGGTAATGTTTGTTCTATCTGGAATTTTCTTCAGAATAATCCAGTCTCATCCACATTAAACACCTGTTCTGGCAGGTAACCCCCTTCAGTGATGATGTTTGTATCTCTGAAAATTTGTAAGTTGAACGTTCTTAAGTAGAGGAGCACCTGTATTCTAGTACCCAGTAGTCATGGGACAGTTATACTAGTGCCCAGTAGCCATGGGGCAGTTATACTAGTAGTACCCATTAGTCCTGGGACAGTTATACTAGTACCCAGTAGTCATGGGACAGTTATACGAGTGCCCAGTAGCCATGGGGCAGTTATACTAGTCGTACCCATTAGTCCTGGGACAGTTATACAAGTACCCAGTGGTCATGGGGCAGTTATATTAGTGTCCAGTAATCATGGGGCAGTTACACAAGTACAGTACAATACACTACTCGGTAGCCAACAACAGTTACGGGGACAGCTGTATAGTAACCAACACAAGAAGTCATAAAACACAATTTTCCCACAAAATTTACATTAAATGAGAGGATTAGTAACCACACCACAACAGGTAAATACACTGTTATAGAGTGTTTGGTTTTCATTAAACTGGGTCAGCTTCGGTCATAAACTAATACTTTATCCAGTTGGACTGTTACTGGCAAAAGACTCACAAGAAAAAAGAAAGGAATAAAAAATGAGAACGTGGAAATAAATTGAACTCCTTTTGTCCAAGGTGTGGGAGGAGTGAGTCTCTGTACATTATCTGACCGGTATCATGTCTATGCTTCTTACACCACTAAAATGTTATAAAATTTGTGCCCTGTAACCCTTAGTTGAAAGATATACTTCAGTGCATATAGTCTCTGACATAACTTGAGGTAAACTGACCTGATCCCAGTGATTATGTTTAGGTTAGGTTAGGACCTATTTAGGAAAGAAGATCTGATTGACATGCGGTTGAGTGCTTCTAGTTATTTTAATGATAATGAATTGGCTGAATTCTGATTGTTCATATACCCACTTCTTGTGCAATCAATGAAGTTAAGCAATGTTGGGTTTGGTTAGTACTTGGATGGGTGACCTGTTAGCCCTAAGAATACCAGATGCTGCTGGCATAAGGACTCATATGGAATCAAGCATTTGGTGGCTTTGTCAGCTGTCCTTGGTAAAATTCACTGAAATATCAGTTATTTTTATTATTATTATTACTTCTCAATCATACACCCCATACTCACCACACAATAAATCACCTTATACAGTACTGTACTCTTCTCACTCATACACCCAAACTCACCTCACTGTTACACCCCATACTCACGTCTATACCATACACAGCCCCAGTTTGTTTGTTCTTCACTTCACTCATGTTTCTCCCTCTTCATCTATTTACTCAAGATAAACTTCGCAGTACTGTACTGTACTTTCATGTTATAATAATACTGTGTATAGTATGAACTTTGTACATTAGTTTTCTATCCAAGATTTATATTTTTTTAATGCATTTCACGTTTACCTTATTTGTTGATCCAGCAGTTAACATATCTTGCAGTTATCCAATTATATTTTTACTTTTGCGATACAGTACAAAAGATCTTTAATGTAATAAATTTTATATAGTTAAATATAAATTAAAAAAACAGAGATCAACTGATATGTACAGTCACCCAAAAGAGTCCTGTCGCGAACCATGAACCCCGACATTCAGACTCTTGAATCCGAAGCACATATGGACAGAATAATGTATCAGTGTCTACTGCTTCGGGTTCACGAGTCTGAATCTCGGGGTTCGTGGTTCGCGACAGAACTTTTTTGGGTGACTGTACAACTACTAGAGCATTTAAATATAATATAATTAAGAAATGTGACATACCTGTAGCGATTTTAGTTGAATTAATCAATACTGTATTCATTTCCACAGGGGCCATGAACTACCCATCAACAACACAGGCACTCTTCGCGCTGATTGTCATGATAATTGTTTTACTGTTCATTTTGGTGTACTGCTGCTGGGGAACCTTCTCCTGTACCCACCAAGATGAATCCACTGCCACAGCTGAAGAGGGAACAGTTGTTGCTCAGCAACAAGGACAACAGGTTGTAAGAGGCACGCACATGGTCATAGTACCAATTAATAATATGATATATGTGGGTGACCCAGAGTCTCGCCGCATATATCAGATTCCTCTTAATCAAGACAAACCCCCTGCTTACACGGAGGCAATCAGCGGTGGACCTCCTCCCCCATATGCAGCAGATAATTCCACATCTGAAAGTCCAGCACCAAATACACCTAATGTTCTGCCAGAAACAAGGACTAATCTTCCAGATCTTCCTCCTTCTTATAATGACTGTTTATCTGCACCTAGTTCAGATAAATTGTGGCAGACTATTTTGAATGATCTTGCAAGAGAACAACAAGGACGTCAAAACCCAGAGCCCACTCCAGAACCTCCGGAAGGTCAACATGTTCAACGGTCAGAAAGTGACGTAGATGCACCGAAACCATCTATTCCTACATCATCCACTCCAATAAGTGATAATCAGGACCAAAAAGTACCAGAAGCTCCTGATGGTAGACAGGAAGGTGTAGTTCTTCACCCGGCTAACTTAGTGACACAAGCTAATGTTGATCCTTCCTATGAGAATAGGAATGCAGAGGACTGTGAAGCATCATTGCCTGCAACTGTACAATCCAGCTGATTTAATTAATTTAAATGTAAAATTGAAGTTGTCCTATTGTTTATATGAGGAAAAAAATTTACATAAGAACTTCCCATCTACTGACTGGCCAATACATACAAAACATATCAAATGGTGACGAAGTGTATACAGTATCTAAAATCTGTTTATCATTGAAAAATAAAATAAGCCCCACCCACATTTATTTCTTGTGGGTTTGTGATTGAGCCACCCACAGATGTTACATTTCAAATCCATATGACCATCAGCTGTCAATCAGGGACAAGGCAGTTCCATCGCCTTCTCAAGTACAGTAATAGGTCAAGTATTGTCAAGTCTCCTCTCATAAAATCCAGTAATAAATACCGGTAATACTAATAATAATGAATGACTAGCTGGTCTAACAGTACTTTGCTTGGATAACAAAATTTTGTAATCAAGGCAAATAATATCAGACAAATTTGTTTTAATTCTAAAATTGTGCCCAGAGTGAGTGTTGGTGTGTCGGTTGATGGTGGTGAAGTCACTATATAACTACATTTATTGTGTATGTGGACAACATTACTGTACTTTCTTGTTTGGATATATAAGTACAATACTGTACTGTATATAAGAACTTTCTGGAAACTTGCTCACATCACTACAAATCCAACCACAGTTTTCCGTCCTTGCATAAATTTAAAGTAAAAATACTGAGAAGCTACAAAATGCCTTAAGTTGATAGCATAATAATCTTATAAAGCATTGTCAGTATATGCTACAGTAATATGTTTATACTTGTATAAATAAAATTACCCTTGTACATCCACTGTCATTAAAAACATTTCAATGGTTAGACAAAAGCATGAGACTATACAATCACAGAACAGAAATTTAATGGGTTACCTTACTCATGTACCGCTGATTGACACTTTCATACAAATCCTTCACACATCCTGTTCAATGTTTGTTAATCTCACTGATTATGTGAAACCTTTATGAGAATTAAAGCAGTTTTTAATTACTCTTGATGAGCACATAATCTGGCATTTTCATTGTCATTAATGCCATACAGGTAGAATAGTACATTAAAACAGTATAGTAAGATGCTGTAAATTGACTGACCTCTATTACGTCATTGTTATAACCATGACAGAGGCAGAGACTCATTGGGGTAATTTCTCTTCCATCCCAGGTGACTAAGGGAGAATGAGCAAGCTTGGGGAAGTTTATAAGACTGATCAGTATATTAAGTATTGTATTGTTGTACTGTACAGTGTACATACAGTATCTTATTTCTTGCTTCATATTTCATGTCAATATACCCATTATAAAAAACATGTTGAATTATAGTGTACGGTAGCCAAGATGAACCAAGCTGGTCATAAAGACATGTAAGATTGTAAGTGCAGTATTTTGATATTCAGTACAGGTACAACACAAGGGGGTACTTTTGTGGAATGTGATTTTACAGAGGGGTAACAAGAAGTAAGCTTAATAAAACCATATTTTATCATTCCACTCAAGTTATTACAGTATTTTTTCCAATAATGAGGCATGAAAATACGTAACCAATTATTCTCCCAGCAGGTGGTTGTCTTTAATACTGGGATGGAGCAAGTGAGTACGTAATTCAGAGGAAACATTTAAGTGGGATGTAGATGGGAAAATTTTTATTGTACTGTACTTGATGCAGTAACCCTGAGAAGATGTATTTAGATTTCATGTTTTCAGTTTAATAAAAGTGTTTGAGGTGTGGGAGGAAGGGAACAGTCTTAAAATTTGGTTTTATGCTGAGCTTGTTGAACAGGTAGCAGATATACTGCCATCTAAATTTTCTGTATTCTGGCCCTCCAAGTTATGAATTGTAGATGTAGTCATTCTGTATTCTGTTACCACGAACTTTTGATACAGGTAACATAACATGAAGTTGTTAAATGTAAATATTAATTACTGTACTGTACTATTATTCCAAGTGTCAGTTTCAAATATCATGAAATAAGAATGTGATAATAACCATACAGTAAGTTAGTGCTTAAGTATGTTTATAACTGTACATCCTTTGTAGTTTCTGATTTCTAAAAAAGTCTTACACATTAAGTTACAAGTTTGTTTGTTCCCATGCACTGTCACTCCTCTATTTTTTTTACCGTGATACATCAATAACTTACTGCCAAGTAACTGTTGTAATGAAACAGAAAATGATCTTATGTCAAGGTGTGTCCTTGTGTTGTTAAATGTGTATACAAGTACATCTTTGTCCTGTATGTTGTTAATGTGTACACATCTTTGTCCTGTACTGGTAATGTGTACACATCTTTGTCCTGTACTGTTAATGTTTACACATCTTTGTCCTGTTTACTGTTAATGTGTACACATATTTGTCCTGTATACTGTTAATGTGTACACATCTTTGTCCTGTTCTGTTAATGTGTACACATCTTTGTCCTGTATACTATTTGTGTACGTACACATTTTTGTCCTGTTCTGTTAATGTGTACACATCTTTGTCCTGTACTGTTAATGTGTACACATCTTTGTCCTGTATGTTGTTAATGTGTACACATCTTTGTCCTATACTGTTAATATGTACACATGGGGGTGCTGGTGGTAGAGTGGTACCGCTCTTGCCTTCGCAAGCAAGATGTCACGGGTTCGATTCCCGGGCCGGTGGAAGTTGTGTGGACATACTTCCTAGCCCCCATTAGTCCCTGTTCACCTAGCAGTAAAGTAGGTACCTGGTGTAAATCGAAAGTTGCAAATTCTTATTCAAGGACAAGTTGTTGGAGCTTCCAATAACTTGATGACATAAACCACTGACTCTTCAGGCTTCTACGCCCTTGACTCTTCAGGCTTCTACGCCCTGAGCTCATGAGACATAAAGGCAAGCATGAACTTAGCATGCTTCCCTGTTGGGCACAGTAAACGCTTCTGCGCTTCACCTTACACAAGGATGTAGGGGGGGTGCCCAATAAATAATAATAATACAAAAAAAATATGTACACATCTTTGTCCTCTGCTGTTAACATGTATACAACAACAGCAGGACCCACCAATTCTGCGAATTTTTTGTATACGTATTATACAGGTGTACCCCAATAACCGACACATATAGGGGCCAGGAAAGTCTTTGGTTAGTTAATCCACAGTTCTTGAAGCAGTTAATCCCATAAGAACATAACGAATTCGGGGGTAGGAACCGGCCACCTCCCCAAAACTCCCATCTACCCTTGATATATCTCTGTTGTACACACTGCCAAGCAAGAAAATAAAGAAGACATAAAGCAAGCATAATAAGCCTTAAATATGCAATGTAAACCAAAAATTTTGACTTATTTACATGTCTTAATGATGGTAAGGAGAGTCTAGGGTGCCAATTTCAAGTCTCTACTGTAGTACCAATCTTTTCTGGTCCATCACCACTTATTATGCCTTATCACATCACATCAAGCTACTCCTAAGAGGGGCAGCACAAGAGGCACTATCACTGGGGCATTTAGGCATGATTGCCGAACACACGAAGTCGGAAATAACGAAAAAACATGAAGCCAGAAACACATGGTAAGTGTAAACAAGAGCAAAGAATTTGCACCATGCCACCGCCCACCAACTTCAAAACAGCTCTGCTGCTCCTTTCCTGATTGTTGGATTTCCGAGGTATCACCGAAACTTGTGGGGTATTTCCCCTATACCGAATGTAATCGTCGGTTACGCGAAGCGGCAGTTATTGGAGCGTCTGTTTTTTAGGTATACCTGTACTTGGCTATTAGCTATGTGAACCTTCTCTCATGTCATAATAGTTAATGAATTTCTATAAATGCCTGACTATTTACTGCATACAGTATATATTACTACTGTATACAGCATACACCCTCAATATATGCTACAAGTCCCATACCTACTGTACTTTTAATAAGTCAATCATAGACTATACTGTATTTATGATAAAACACTGTATTATATTTATTTAGTTACCCATAACATAATACGTAGTCCTATTATTTATTTTTTTTATTTTTTTATTTATTTTTTAACAGATTAGCCCACCCGGACACAGGTCATTGACCTACATCGGGGCCTGGGGGGCAAAAATGTAATAAAAATAATGATGATAATTATTATTATAATAATAATAATAATAATAATAATAATAATAATAATAATAATAATAATAATAATATAGAACCATAAGGAAATTCAAAAATGAAAAAAAAATCAAAAGTGAGAAACAATACCCTGTATACTGTATGTATGTTGTGTTGTCAATAATAAGAGAAACAATTGAGACCCAGCAATTGTGTGTAAATGAGACAGAAAGTCAGATCAGCAACCTGGGACTTGGTCACAATTTTCGTGATGCCATATAGCAGCAGGGTCTACCATTAGACAACACATTATGCTTCCAATATCTTCCCAGGCGATAGTACCTCCCTGTTTGGTAGCTGCTTACTACCTACTACCTGTCAACAAAGCCATAGTTAAGTGGCTTTAATGTAATGTTATGCATAATTCTTTTTAAGTTACTGAAATAATTGAACCATGAACCAAAGATGAGTATGACAGAAAATGAGAAGGGTTATGCTCAAATGATCATCTAATGGTAAGTATGACTGTAATGTACTGTATGGTCTTGTGAAGCATTTCATTACACTGTACCCTCGTTTATTCGACAAAAATGGGGCTCTGGGTCACTTGAATTACCGAAAATCTAAATTAACTGAGTTCAGAATATATTGACATTATTCGACAATTTTTTATTTTTTGTATTTAATTATTTGTTCATTTTCTGTTCAGTTTTCGCACCTGGCCATGCCTTGGCTATTACATAAAATAATCTATTTATAATTATTGTGCAAACAAATATTTTTTTTAAATATACAGTACATGCAGTAATAATAAAGCAAATACTGTACTGTAATACAATAATAAATAAAAGTAACATTGTGAGGTGAGCTGACGATGCAAGGTGTGAGGTGACGAGGCAAGAGGTGAGACGACGAGGTGAGATGACGAGGCACTTACAAAGCACGCACACATTAACAGCACTACCAAACCATTGTCTTATAACATTTTAATTTATGATTTACATTTTAAAATTAACTGATACATGATGGCTTCAATAGGCTACTTTTGCACTTTGACAATTGGTCAGTGACTAAACCAGGGTGCATGAATGCATTACTGCATACACTACAGTAATATTTATGCTATATTATTTACTACGTGCTCAAGACAGATCCTGTGGTAAACACCAACCCTCTTGAGCAGTGACAACAATGGTGGTTGAGAGATGGCAGCATTGTTAGGGACAACAGTAACGATTAGCTGTTACCCCTGTGGGGTAATGGGTTGTTTGGTTCACACTCAGGATGGGATGGAGAAAGGGAATTCACAATGTGCTCTCTGGAAACATGTTGTATTAGATGTACAATGCAGCTTGGTGCTGGGAAGTGGCAGCGTGGTTACAAGCGTGATGTAGAGAGAGCTGGTTGGTGAGGATGTTCAGAGGACAGCTTGTGGGTCACCATGCTTGCCGGCGGGAGCGAGGGCCGCCAGGCAGCGGCGGAGGAGGAGGAGGTGTTGCTTGCTGGTTGGTGTAGGTAGAAAAGAGAGCGGTTACCAAAAGGTCAGGTCTTAAATAGCGGAGGTAGGCGTGGCTTAATAGTTGACCTCCGTCATGTAAGGCGGCGCTGGGTGACCTAGACCACGAGGAATACACTGGGGAATTTGCGGGGTCGGCTACTCAGCGACAAAAGCGTTTGTAGGGGAGGGATCCACTACAATACTCCCTCCTTCCCTCCAGGCGGTGTAGGAGACTTGTTGTCTGCAGGGTTGCATGGCACATGTGAGGCAGAACGGGCGGTGCATGCCACATGTTAGCCATAACGGCGAGGGCACGGATGAGCCAGCCGCTAGAGGAGACAACTGTCTAGATACACAATATCTGTGGGAGTAGAGAGGGAGAAAAATGGTGTGTGGAGGCGATGAATGTTGAGCTTCCCTCACGGCAGGTACAGAGTCGTCAGATGCGCCTGCTGCGGTGTGTGGGCCTGGGTCAGGAGCAGGGGCTGCGTCAGCAGGAGCGAATGAGGGCTCGTGACAGCAGCAGGGTGCAGGACAGTAGCAGGGGGTACCTGAGGGAGAAAAGAGGGGTGTGTGGGTCCGCACTCAGGCGCATGGGCCGCGTCGGTAGGAGCGGCGGGGGGTACTGCTGGGCTGGGGCGGCGTCTGAGGCAGGACGGGTGTGTTGGGGTCGGTAGGACGTGGTGCTTGGGGCAGGAAGAGGAGCGGCTGTCTGCTTAGAGAAGCAGAGCTGCTCTAGGGTGTCTACCCTGCGGTGTAGAGACAGTAGCTGTAGAGTCGATGAGAGCTGCCTCTGCGTGGGTAAGCCAGTCTTCCATGTTGCTTGAAGACTGGGAGAGTAATCGGTTTCTCCTCCATCCTGTGTGAGTGCGAATCTCCAGGGTCACCATTTGTGGGGTAATGGGATGTTTGGTTCACACTCAGGATGGGATGGAGAAAGGAAACTCACAATGTGCTCTCTGTATACATGTTGTATTGGATGTACAATGCAGCTTGGTGCTGGGAAGTGGCAGCGTGGTTACAAGCGTGATGTAGAGAGAGCTGGTTGGTGAGGATGCTCAGAGGACAGCTTGTGGGTCGCCATGCTCGCCGGCGGGAGCGAGGGCAGCCAGGCAGCGGCGGAGGAGGAGGAGGTGTTGCTTGCTGGTTGGTGTAGGTAGCAAAGAGAGCGGTCACCACGAGGTCAGGTCTTAAATAGCGGAGGTAGGCATGGCTTAGTAGTTGACCTCCGTCATGTAAGGCGGCGCTGGTTGACCTAGACCACGAGGCATACACTGGGGAATTTGAGGGGTCGGCTACTCAGCGACAAAAGCGTTTGTAGGGGAGGGATCCACTACACCCCCGCTGTAAACAAGAGAGGAATATACTGCGGCACAACAGCTCACCTAGGATTAAGAGTGGGATTTTGGGGGAAATTTATTGTTTTTTTTTTATGTTTTATTAACTTGGCACCAATTGAACCTACTTTCAATATTATGGGAATTAAGGGGGAAACTGCACGCTGTTGTTATGCCGAG